ATGCATTGTGTTGAAATCCTGCCACATAAAATGCCATGCGTTGTGGCAATCCTGCCGTGTATGATGCCATGTGTTGTGGCAATCCTGCCATGTATGATGTTCTGCGTTGTGGCAATCTTGCCGTGTATGATCTCGTGCAATCATGCAATGTATGATGCCATGCGTTGTGGCTATCCTGCCATTTATGATGCCATGTGTTGCGCTGAAATATTGCATATTTTATATGAATTGTGTTGAAATATTATTTTTAATGTGCATTGGCTACGGGGCTCCTGGGTGCACCCCTGTTTTAATGTATTACTTGTTTCATTTTGGTATTAGGGATGCACCATTTTTTTCCAGACCGAGTACAAGTACCAATACTTGTCTAAGTACTGGCAGATACCATTACTGATACATTTTGTTAGTGTCGTGTGACAGTTTTCTAAAACAATACAGATGAATAATTTCAGAACAGTGGTGGGGTGTCGAGGTCCTGCCGCAGCTGCGGCCGATATGACCCTGGTAGTTGAAAATGCCAAGTATCGGCACCGATATAGATGCTGGTGTCTGAACATCCCTAGTTGAAATCTTGCTTTACATGTTGTCATGTGTTGTGTTGAAACCCTGTTTGTTTTTACTTGTGTTGCCCTCAAGTGTGATGTATCTTTGAGAGATTTAACCCCTCTGCTTAAACTAGGGGCATGATGGATTGCCTTAATTTGGTGTTTGCTTCAGTATTGAGGTGGTTGACCCACCTGGTATATGCACACACATGTAGGAGGGTTTTGACAGTGGGTGGTTATTGGTTATTTGTATTGCTATTCAGCCATATTGGCTTACGGTTTCACAACTCATTGAACACGTAAGAAAACCTAACCCATTCCTTTCAGGTGTTTTCACAAAGCTAAGGTATTATTAATTGGTTTTATGTGTTGACTAGGTTGCCTTGTTTGTGCTTTTCAATATCCAATACTCTTCTTGGATTTGCTAATTCGGTTGCGGTGTTCTGGCCGATCCTGGTGCACTTCCAGGTACATTTCTTTTCTCAGCGTACAGAGGCCTTGTCCGAGGTATAGTACCCTCATTCAGGCATCTGATGCCTCATGTTGTGTTCCCCCTGTCTCACTTCCAGGTACCCAGGCCTTGTGCAAGCTGTAGTGCCCTTGCTCAGACACCCGAGGCCTCATGTTGTGGTTTCCCCTGGCTCACTCCCAGGTACATCTCTCTCTGTGTTCCAAGGCCTTGTCTGAGGTCTAGTGCCCTCACTCAGGCACCCGATGCCTCACATTGTGTGTTTCTATTCATTGGTTGTGGGCCCCTGCCCCTCCATACCCGTCCCTAGGTTTTGTTCAGCTTGTCTAGTTGTGCAGTCTGTCCAGGCAAGTTTTATGCGATCCATCACTTGGGACTAATTTAACTTCAGTCATGACCATTAGGTCTATAGTATTTTAGTAATGCTTGTATTATTTTTCCTATGTTGTCATGTCTTGTAGCTGTGTCCACGTCTAAGTCTGTATGTTTTCTGTATGTTTTAGATAGGGAGGTATCTTATTTAACCTAAATCAATACTCACGTGGTGTAGCTGATGAATCACTGTCTGCGTCTGTATTGTGAGTGGTTTTCAGTCATCTGTCACTGCAAGTGAGGTTGCATGTGTGTAATGGTAACGTCCAATTTGAGTCTTGCTCTAGTCCAGTGTGCGTTTCTGTCATGTCATTGTTATCGTCTGCCTCCAGCAAGAATACCCAGCATGTTCAAGTATAGGGGAGCATGAGCCAAATCCTGCCATGTGACTGGGGAAGAGACATCACCGCTCCCCCAGGTTGTTGATATGCTAATTGCAGCAGCAGCAGCTGAGGATTTAGCAAAGAGCTATGAGGGAGCACAGGTAAGGTGAGTATATGGGGGTCGTAGGATGCCATTTACAGAGGCACTGTCACAATGCTCTTAATGGCTAAAGGTGACAGTGTCTCTTTAAATTTCAACACATTTTATTGCAAATGGGAATTTCTATAAAGATATTTCAATGTAATTTTACATAAAACTAATTTCTCAGATCTGTCTTGATAGCAGTCTCCTGCCATCCCTTGTACAGCGGCAGTGCAGTAGGGAAGGAGACCACTATGTGCAATAGGCTCTGCTGAATGCAAATTGCTGAAAGGGAACATACTGACAGAAAAGAGCAGAACGAGAAGACAAACAGGATGACATTGTGTTGCTACTCCTTCATTCACCAGTCAGCCGAATGCAGGAAGAGAGGTGACACTTCTTTACTCTTTAACTACAACAGAGAAAGTGGTGTTATGCTCATGGCTGATGTCTGGCAGAGGGATATGAATCACAAAAATGCCTGGGCAGAGTTACAGATTCTTTTGCAGATACACAGTGTCAGTATGTGTATTCTATATGTGTACTTAGCTATGTGCCTAATGTTTCAAAGTTTTCTAATGTTTAAAGTATTAAACCCTAATCTTTAAAATGATATATTCGTATGTACCAGAGGAACATTACCCAGTAGTTTACTTAGTTCACATTTGTGCCACTCACTAAAATATAGTAAATTGAGGTTTTTAGTGTAAAGCTGGCCACACACCTTACAATTTATCTGCAGATTTTCTGTGGTCGGATGGAAAAGGTGCAACAGATTCCTCCATCTACACTTAACTGTGTGGATGAAGTAATCTCCGACTGGGCCAATCTGTTTTCCATCTGACCACAGAAAATCTGCAGATAAATTGTAAGGTGTATGGGCACCTTATCAGCCGCTATACTTAGAAGGTGTTTAACTCTCTCTAAACAGTAATCTAAGCCTCATTTACTGAGGACTGCCTAGGAGAAATCCAACAATCATGTCATCCTTATTATGGGAGAAAACAATGTTTAAATCTGTTAGCTGTAAAACACAGTGGGGTCTATTCACGAAGCTGCCGAAGGATCTGGCCGTAGCTTCGGCCGATCCTTCGGCTAGCTTCGGCCCCAGGACCCCTTTGGTTCTCTTGAACCAAGGGGTGCTGTACGGGCTATTCACAATAGCCCGTACAGCTCCCGAACTTGGCCGCGCGGCTCAGTCGAGCCAAACGCATATGCATCGGCTCGGCTGAGCCGCGCTGAAAGCCGAAGCTGGCTGAGCGGCCGGCCATTGCTTCTGACAGCTGGGTGGAGCCAGCCGTGATCTTACGGCTGGCTCCGGCAACTTTCAGAGAGATCAGCGTCCCTGGTTACCTGCTAACCCGGGACACTGATCTCCAAACAGCTAACTCTCCCTTGCGCCCCGGGAGTCTCCTGTTCCCGGCCGCCAAGGAGAGAAACACTGCTGTGTCTTTTTTTCTTTATTCTGACACGAGCGATGTCAGAATAGAAAAAACAAACAAACAAATGTTGCCCATTGGCTATTTCAATTTGCAATAGCCAATAGTAAACTAGCATTGTACTCTGCTGCAGTTCTCCATCAGGTCCATCATCAGATCAGTACAATGCTAGTTTACTATTGGCTATTGCAAATTGAAATAGCCAATAGGAATCTAGCAATGCATTCCAATGGGCAATTTTTTTGTTTTTCTATTCTGACACGGCTCCGTGAGTCGAACTCCTTCTGCACTTCGGGTCGCCCAAACATGCTGAGCATGTTCGGCCGACCCGAAGCCACGCGAAGCAAGCCGATGTACGGCTGATTTCAGCCGATGTAAGAAATCAGCCGTACCAGCCTGAAGTGCATAGCCGAACAGTGTTCGGCTCACTTCACTTCAGATCGCTCATTCACTCTTGGCAGGAGGAATTGCTAAAAAAAGTGAAAGCATTCATATCGCCCAAGGTAATTGGCTGGTCAGGATTGCATCTCTTAAACTGTCATTATATGAGCAGTTATTTTGCCCGTTGGCAAAAGATCTAAGAACAAGCCTTTCTCACTGCTGGCATCACCTGAAGCAGCTGTGAACTCTACTGCCAGCTCAAACAGTTCTGCTTACAAACAATTTTAAGTAAGTGGATTGCACACAAGGGAAATATTGAAGAAAGCCAGAAGATATATGTGACTGTTGCATCAAATAATCTATTACCCACAAATGACACTTAGTTGTGTTGCATCACTTGTAAAAGTCCCAGTGGATGGCTTGCAATACATTTTGAAGAGTAATACTTGCAAACAATAGCACACCTACATGTAAAGAGCTCTCAGATTATTAATATCCCTAGTATCAATGTATAATTCAGATATGCATTACCTTGCCAAAAGGTTATTTAAAATAAACGGTGAAATACAACTGTATGCTGTAGTCATCGGGGCTTGTAGCCATGTCTTGTATACGTGGAGATTTGAGAAAAAGGAGGTAATATGCAGTATACCAGTAATAAATCACTACAAAATTGATGTCAATGTACTTTTTTTTTTTCAAACAATTTTTATTTGATTTTTTCCATATAAAACTACAAAATAAAATGAAACAAACATACTATCTGCAGGTTACAGAAAGGTGCATATCTGTATACTCAGGCGCTTCAGGTGTCGAAGCACCATATATGGCTTCTGAGGGGAGCGCAGTCCTTTTACGTTCCAGGAAATAACTTTCATAAAAATTTTTCCAGAGATTTATCTATTTTGAGATGATGGCTTAAAATATTTTGGTTGGAGGGGGATAGAGGACATACAGTGAGTATACGTGAGGGAGCCTGAGCTGAGAGAGTATCTATGGAGACACAGCAGCACATAACCACCCCCTTCAGGGGCATATCGGTTATACAGAAAGAGTATGCAAATATTCCTGCGATAAGTATAACTTTGTTCAACAAAACTTTATCTATAACATAACACATAACCAACAATTTCACTGACTTCTCAATTTATCAATGTACTTTTAATAAGACAGCTTGCTGTACAACTGTAGTTTTATTTATATATTTTGTATCTACTACCCATAACCTATTTATGTTTATCTAACAATCAACCCAGTGTCTCGTATGACTTTCAATAAATTTATAAATATACAACTATCTCTGGCTTTAGAAATGTATACTGTACTTACTTTAGCATTGTATGCAATGAAATGTTTTGATAACGTTTCAGGAGTGTGCATCCATGATTTATCTGAAATAAAAGACAATGTTATTCATTCATTTAATACAGTGGCATTTTTTTCTATACAGTATACATCATTTATTTACTTTAATCTCACATTTAAGATCAAATGAACTAATGTGATATAAAGTGAATGTATACTTAAAAATTAGCATAACACTATGTCAAGTCTTATTGGGATGAATAAACTATAGAAATATTTAGAAAATTAAGAATAGGTTGAAATACTTGCCTTTTCTAGAGGACCCTGAAAGATCCTTCAGTGATGACCACAATTTTTTCGGGCAAAATCATGTGGTTATATTATCCTGTTTAAGAGGAGGATCAGGCAGTGTGACTTTGACCATCCTCTTTAACAGAGATCATATGACTGAGCAACAAAGCATACATACATACATCACTGAAGAAAACTGGATACCATTTCTCAAGAAAAGATTAGTATTTCAGTCTTTCTGTTCATTTACCATCTTGGCAAGACTGATAAACATGTGCATTGTGGTAACAAATGTTAAAATCCCAAGTTATTGCAACACACCTGCACAAAATGTGCTGCATGGCAGCCTAGTCAAAGGGCTTACATACTGTGCAGCAGGACTGAACAATAGTTCTGACTGTTGTATGTGACATATAACACTCCAATTTTTATTTCACAATACAACCTGCTTGACCACTCAGTCAAACTGCAACTTACTGAAACCTCTTACATGGTATAGTGTGCATCAACGGTACAATTTATCTGCCTTTTTCTGTAAAATAAAAACCAAAAAATACACTCTAATTTTGATTTCTTAAATAAAATCTGCCTGGTCTGTACATCTTAACTGCACCATACTAAAGCTGCTGGTATAGTATGCGTTGAGTCTGTACACTTTTTGTAGCTTTTTTTCTCTTTGAAATAATATACTCAATTTAGCTTTTTTTTTAAATTAAAACCTGTCTGGTATCTCCCTCTGAAACTGCAGGCTACTAAAGCTACTTACATTGCATAGGACTGAGTCTGTGCAATATTTCTGGCTGTTGCATGGGAAATAAAACACTCCAATTTTTATTTCACAATAAAGCCTGCCTGATCTGTCCCTCTAAAACTGTGGCCTACTAAAACCGCTTACATAGTGCGCATCATTGATTTCTTCATTAAAACCTGTTTAGTCTCTTCCTCTTTAACTGAGGCCTACTAAAGCTGGCCTTCTAAAACTGCTTCCATAGTGTGCATGGAGTCTGTACAATAGTTCTGGCTAGTGAAATAATACACTCTAATTTCTAAAGCTGCATAAGTTCTGTGCATTGACTACACAATATTTCTGGCCATTGTTTTTGAAATAATACACTCTAATTTGTAATTGCACTCTACTATAGTTGCTTACATACTCCTCCTCCTTACCCCAAGCACCCCAACCCATACACGCCTAGGGGTGAGGAGGTGGAGGGAAGGGGTGAATTAACAGCACTTGCAGACAAGTGACCTTTCTGTGTCTGGAAGGATTAGAAGGAGAAATGGATTCTTGGTCATTACACTAACTCATGTGCCATTCACCACTAGTGAGGTAATTAAACCCAGCTACCAAAAGTATCCCCATACTGCCTCTTTGATATATGTGAAACAGTTGAATGAAGATTTGGGGAAGGGCAGACATGGCTGTAGGGTGGTACACTTAATGTTTTCTGCTGTCTGTCCTTCCCCATTTGCCTGCCCTTTCACCTGAATGTTTTGAAAATAATGGGTGATACAGGGATGGCAGGGGGTCAGAGAATGTGGGGTTTCTGGTTTTTCTGGTGCACTCTTTTGACATTTTACTATACTTTAAAAAAAAAAATCAGTGTGGTAATGTGAAAAAAGTTCAGAAACTGTAATATAAAACTGCTTTGCCACTGGTCAATTTATACAAAGTTGAGGGCTTTAGCCTAATTTTTTTTGTAAGAGTAAACTTTCCTACAGGTTTTAGATGTGTTGTGACTCTTACTTCCACCATTCAATTCAGGACTAATAATGCTGGATAAAACATTGTCAGAGACTGTCCCACAACTGTGGTCCTGGAAAGTGCTCTGCCACAAACTAACACATTAACCCTTTCGCTGCCAAACCCTCCGGAACACTTTGCACCTCAGCTGGCCACACCATTTTTGCAATTTTTCCCATTGATTTGATTTTCAACTGCTGCGTTGCTAGCGTTTGTAAAAGACCCCCCAAACCATATATTTTCTGAAAGCGCAGGCCCGGTAGAATAAAAAGATGGTGGTTTGAAAAAATAAAAACCCTTTTGAAACTAAAAAAAAAAAAGATGGTGGTACTAAATTTGTAGGCCCTGCGATAATTGCGCGATAAATGTTTCTCAAATTAACGTTAAACCGATAAAAATACACAATTCAATTGATAAAACACACTAAAATCAGTATCAGCGCACAAAAACAAATATTTTCTGACTAAATCTAAAAGATAAAACTGTATTGAGTTAATAAATAACAAATATTTGCACATTTGAAATTGCGCCTTTTTGCGAAAAGGTAAAAAAAATGAAGGTATGCAAAACTGGTAAAAATAGTTTTTACGCTGTGTTGGTGTTTGTGTTGTGATAAAATGATACAGGTGTATATTTATTGCAACACAAAGATCACAACGCACGGCCATGCGTCACAGAGCTTTGCCATGAGCTGCCACAGTTAAATTAATGTATTTTTTAAAGAAAAAAATCATGCACTGCGATACGTTCTAACAACGCACTGCAGCACATGTGCATGGTGTACACCACAATATGGTGCACGTGTATGTTATGTGTGTGGGGGGAGGGAGGGGTTGTTTTTTAATTAATTTTTTTACACATTAATTTTTTTAAACATTTTTTTTTTTATCATTTTCATTTTTTTAACATTTTTTATTTAATTTTACTTAATTTTACTGTTGGAGGGGCTACGGTGAAATATCTGTGGTCTAAACAGACCCCTGACATTTCCCTTTTGAAATAGAAAAAGAAATTGAGGACACAGAGTCCTCAATTTCTTTTTCTGCAGCCCCAGCACTCAATGAATGGGAAACACTCACTATAGAGGCTTCCCATTCATTCAGAAACTGATGATAGTAAAAATATTTACTATCACCAACTTATGAATGCGGAGGAGCCTCTGTAGTGAGTGCTACCCCCCATTCATAAATGTATGAATGAACAGGAAGTGATGTAAATCACAGCCTGTTCATTCATAACTGGGGACACATTGTAAATAACTGGGGACACATAGTACTAACACCGGAGTGATCAGACAATCACTCCGGTATTTGCTCTGCACAGGAGGATCGATAAATATCAATGATATTTATCGATCCCACGCTCGGCCACGCACAGAGCCGCTGTCATCCGAAAACTGACAGGATGACAGCGGCTCCGGTATATTTACCGCTCGGCCATCCTGAATTGCGGCCAGCCGCTGCTCGCTCCTCCGCCCCCTTAAGCCCTGGAGCGGGATGAGGGGCTCCAGATGCCGGCGGCCGGCTGTAGCGGTGACGGTGGGGGGCGCGCCCGGTATTTTCGTTAATATCGGTCATCAGCAGGTGATGAGCCGCTGATGACAGCTATTAATTTGAAGGGGACAGTCTGGGGAACAGTTCTAGTATAGGCTTATAGCAGAACTGTAAATGCCAGGTCCGTACGGCATACGGACCTGGTCAGCCGGGAACACTTTTGTTCCTCCGTATGCCGTATGTCCCGGGCAGGGAAAGGGTTAAACTAAAGTGTGTAAAACTCCACAAGCAGAGCCCAGTGTTCGAAGGTCACATTCCAGGCAGACCCCACAATCATCCGGTCTAGTGGAGTCTAGGTAAGGCCTCCAAAGCTGTTGATGTGGAAATATTGACTGTCAGTGTTCAAAACCTCTTATAGGCAGCAGTATAACCCATATGTCACTGAATCATATGTCGCTCAATGGATGAAAAATAAAATACCTGTTGATTTTGCCAGAAATGTAGAACTGTCCTGTGCACAAATCCTGTCTTATCTCAATAGGCCCTACCAGTTCTTACCTTGAACTGAAGAACAATTACTCTTTATATGGTGAACAAGAGCAGAAGGGGATACATGTGGTAGTTTAAAAACAGATAAATGGGCAGGACTGACACCATGGCTTGCAATTTCAGTCTAGAAAAAGCATGTGGTATCCGTTTACATAAGGACATTTGAAGCTTAGTGCATTTCTTTTCTTTAGCTAGTGCCTTGACATCTACAGAATACACAAATCTTACACAAGTCTTAACAAATATTACATTAGCACAGCTATTAATTGAGAGAATTTGGAGAAGTTATACCTAGGGTTAGGGTATATATTTTTACACATTTTTTTAACCTAAGCTTACAGGCATGTTGAAGTTGAAAGAATAACAAAGACAAAACTATAGCTTGATGTCAAAATATCTGTAAGTAATGTATACAGAGGATAGTGGACAGTGTTAGAATGCAAGAAAGGACTGCAACTAGCAGTTATCAAAGAACATAGATCATAGACCTTATCATACAATGTTGTCATTTCACGAGAAACATATTTCAGGAAAAACAGATTTCACCAATCCCGGTGAACTTAGGAGAATAGACTAACCACTGTATAAAGCTAGCTGCCTTTGTCACTGGGGAGATTTCTGAAGAACTGGACAGCCCAACTTGGTTACACCATGGTAGACCCTTTGCCCACATGTTGCGGTACAACAATACTAAAAAAGAATAAACAGCAGCTCTTGCTACTTTAAACACAACCATAACTTTACCTTGTGGTGCATGATGTAAACATATTTGCACTTTTCGGCCATAAAAAAACAAAAGTTATTTTCTTTATATTTCCCTCAAATCATCAAGAAAGGGTTATTTTTGGCAAGGAACTCTCATTCTTTAAACATATTAATGCTTTGGCAACTGCCAGCTGTCTTCAACTAAATTACATCTCTTGGATTCATTCTTTTTTGTGCATGATACAGCTAAAATATTGTTTTGTGTTCTAATCATATCCCGTTCTAGCCTCTGCAAATCCCTTCT